ATATATATATATATATATATTCTCTATATCTAAATGATTATTCTTTAAATACTAATTATAATTATAATAATAATTATTATTATACTAATATTATATATATTACATATGTAATAAGGTAAATAATTTTTTTGTGGATTATGAATTTCCTAATTAACGCTAATTTTTAGCTTCATTTCGAGGTGTAAGAATTTGCAAGTCAGGGTAATGACCCTGAAAATGAGAAAGAATTGTTCAATCTTCGTCATGCGTCTTTAAAGAATGTGATCGAGAAAATATTTTGTATTTTTAAATCAAGGTTCACAATTTTTAAGTCAGCACTTCCATTTTTATTTAAGACACAAGTAGAACTTGTGTTAGTATGTGCAGTAGCACTATATAACTTTCTACATAAAGAATATCTTTCCGATGAATTTTCAATTGAAGCCGTGGATGAACCTTCATCTTCAACGTTACCAGTTAATGAAGATCATACTTTTGAACATATTATTCAAACCCAGGAGCAAGAACGAAAAAACGCTAATGCTTGGAAGACTAGTATAGCTACAAATATGTGAGTGAATGTTATTTAAGAGGATAAGATATTATGGAGAATTATTATTATTATTATTATTTATCTGGACATTATTATTTTTTATTATTTTTTTCTTTGACTCTTTTTAAATTTGAATGTATGAATTTTTTTTAAAATTTTATCAAATGTCAAAAATCTACGAAAATTCTACAAAATCCACAAAATTCCACAGAATCCATTAAAATCCTGATTTAAAAGTCTTGCAAAATCCATTAAAATCTTGATTTTAAGTCTTGTAAATCCTGCAAAATCTTAAAAGTCATGAAAATCCTACAAAATCTTTTAAAATCCGCATGATTTTTTTTAGTTAAAAAAGTCCTTTAAAATCCTAATCCAATACACTCCCCTTATGTTGTGCCTCTAATTTATAAAATTTGTATTTGTATTAGATAGTTCTGGAAAAAACACAAGGAATCTTAGCAAAAATTTTGGAGACCAGCCAACTCTTCAACGATGAGCAGAAAATTTGATGAGAAGCTTGCCCAACTAAAAAAGGCTGAACAAAGATTTTTCAAGAACAGAATTTCAAGTCCCAAGATCCAAAGGGTACCTCTTTTGTTGCGACGTAATGACAGGTTTGTGAAGTATTGTATACCAAAGATGATATCATTTGGTCCCATCCATCATGGTAGTGAAATTCTAAAGGAAGGAGAGCATTATAAACTTCTATAGACATCAAAGTTTGTTGCAAAATACAATGAAAATCGAGATTCGGATGAAGTGACACAAGTTTTGCTTAAAAGAATAGAAAAAATCTTGATTTTAAGTCTTGTAAATCCTGCAAAATCTTAAAAGTCATGAAAATCCTACAAAATCTTTTAAAATCCGCATGATTTTTTTTAGTTAAAAAAGTCCTTTAAAATCCTAATCCAATACACTCCCCTTATGTTGTGCCTCTAATTTATAAAATTTGTATTTGTATTAGATAGTTCTGGAAAAAACACAAGGAATCTTAGCAAAAATTTTGGAGACCAGCCAACTCTTCAACGATGAGCAGAAAATTTGATGAGAAGCTTGCCCAACTAAAAAAGGCTGAACAAAGATTTTTCAAGAACAGAATTTCAAGTCCCAAGATCCAAAGGGTACCTCTTTTGTTGCGACGTAATGACAGGTTTGTGAAGTATTGTATACCAAAGATGATATCATTTGGTCCCATCCATCATGGTAGTGAAATTCTAAAGGAAGGAGAGCATTATAAACTTCTATAGACATCAAAGTTTGTTGCAAAATACAATGAAAATCGAGATTCGGATGAAGTGACACAAGTTTTGCTTAAAAGAATAGAAGGTAACATGGAAGAATTGAAGAAAGAGTTTGCTGATGACGTGATATTGGAAGGGAAGTATGATGACAATGACCTTGCTTGGATGTTGTTTGTGGATGGTTGTTCTTTGCTTCATTTCATGGAAAATCTTGATATACAGTGTCCAGAAGCACTAAACCTTATGCTTCACCATCTATTGCAAATTCGCACAGAGGCAATTTTGTTGGAAAACCAACTTCCAAGGAGATTACTTGAGATGCTAAGCAGAAAGAAAAGTCCCACGTTGGAATTTTTATTTTTCAATGTTTTTGACTGGGGTGCACAAAAACTTCGTGGCTCAAGAAATGTCATTGTCCAAAATCCTAAACCAATTCATTTACTCGATTATAATCGCTCAATATACCTAAACCAGCAAGATGACGGTGATAAAGACAACAATTTTCAAATAGACCCAAATGCTGGCAAGTGGTATACTTGTAAGAACGTACGAGATCTAAAAAGAGCAGGGATTCGGATGATACCAAATTTGTCAGCAGAAAATCCATTTGCTTGGAATGGAATTCATTTCAAATCTAAGTGGTTTAGTGGGGAATTGAGACTTCCAATATTTCATTTCCATGATAACGAGGCCTATTTTTTTCGGAACCTTATAGCGTATGAGATGTGTCCAGATACTCGTAGCAAATATGAATTTTGCTCGTTCATTTCATTCATGGATTCATTGATTGACAATGCTGAAGATGTAAAGGAGCTGAGATTAAGTGGTATATTTTCAAACTTGCTCAGAAGCGACGAAGACTTGGCCAATCTCTTCAGTGAATTGGGTGTTGATCTGCCAACTAATAATTTTTCTTACTGGTGCCTCTGTAATGCTGTGGCCTTAAGCAAGAAACATATTGCTGTTAAGCAGCAAATTGAAAAGCATTACACAACTAAGTGGAAGACATGGTTGGCTAAAGCTTACAATACTCATTTCAGTACCCCATGGACTATAATTGCCTTTTTTGCTGCATTACTAATTGTAATTCTTACTTTTATATATCACGTCATCAGCAAACTCTTTCTTCAATTCTTCCATGTTACCTTCTATTCTTTTAAGCAAAACTTGTGTCACTTCATCCGAATCTCGATTTTCATTGTATTTTGCAACAAACTTTGATGTCTATAGAAGTTTATAATGCTCTCCTTCCTTTAGAATTTCACTACCATGATGGATGGGACCAAATGATATCATCTTTGGTATACAATACTTCACAAACCTGTCATTACGTCGCAACAAAAGAGGTACCCTTTGGATCTTGGGAGATTAATCATGGAAGGAGTAAGCACATCGACGTCCGATTTCATTTCATCCGAGAGCAGATCAGACAAGGAAAAGTCGAGTTGGAGCATGTCGGAAGCCGAGTTCAAGCAGCAGACATATTTACCAAGCCACTGCCGACTACACTGCTGGAAAATCGCAAAAAGCTGATTGGAATGAGAGATGGGAAAAGTATTTAAGTTTAAGGGGGAGATTTGTTATGAAACTTAAATTAGGAGTTTTATTTTGTTTTAATAATATTAATGGTGTGAATTATGAGAGGCATTTAAAATATGTAAACGTTGTGTTTTTCTTTCAACTACAAATAAGTGTAATTTCATTTGCAACAGGAATGAGAATATAGAGAGTTTGTTTTGCTCCCAAATTTATGCCCTTTTTTCATTAACAGAATCAACCCACAATATTGATGCATGGTGATATTTTCAAGTTCAGCGTCAGAGTTTTATCTCGTTCATTCCACACAGGCACAATAACACCTCTACTACACTGTCCATGTCAATTCATACCCTGCCATAACTTCTTCCATGAGGGTCAAGATTTTCTAGGAACACTCTTGTGCTCACATTTATCCATTCCATCTCTTGAAGAAATAACAGAAGGGGCTGTTTCTGATGTTAGAGAAATGTTTGATTTTGATGTTGATGCTGTTGCTTCTCCTCAACACCATGAAATCTCTTTGTGGTTGGTGATTGTCTTATTCGATGGTGATGGCATGCATGTGTCCATGGAAGAGTCCATGCAGGATTTTAGAATGATTCCGGCCTCCAATGAAACCATGCAGACGTCGTTGAAGAAATCTAAGGTTATGACACGAAGTGAGTCTTGTCCTTTATGTTTGGAAGAATTTGATGTTAATGTTGATTGTTACACCATGCATGCCATGCCAACATGTGTTTCATCAACAATGTATCTTGACATGGCTGAAGACCAGCCATATTTGTCCCTTGTGTCGCTACCCTTTGCCAACCATCAAAAACTAGCAAAAATGTTGTAATTGAGTGGTGAAAATTCTAGAGTCAATTCTGTTATGTTTATGTAATAGGATGACTTCTTTGTTTAGTGACTCTTTTATATTTTGGTTCGTCCATTTGTGGGGGAAATTATGTAAGTTTTAACTCTTTTGTTTTAGTTGTACAACAAGACCATTCTGAAATATAAAACACGTTTAAATTTGCTCACCTGTAAATTAGATGGTTTTCTTTAAGACTTTTTTCCGGAAAGGATTGTTTCAGTATTAATTTTCTCCGCTTGATGTTTCCAAATTTGGGGGCCATAACAACATAATATCTAATAATAAAAATAGAATGAAACTCAAACATTGGCCATAGCTAGCAAGTTAAATATCAAAGGATTTGGAACAAAAGGCTGACTTATATAAGCTTCAGAGATGAGAAACGTGTATCGACATGGTTAATTGTTGGTCATCTAATTTTTTGTTTTTTCTGACATTGATGTTGTCTGGTTATCCGTTTTTGCGCATCTCAAAGATGATAATAATAATTTATTGCAGTTTGTTAGGATTGAAATTGAGTCTGGTTTGTTGACAATGCATAGAAAACTTGCAAGGAACTATTTTCATTGGCAAATATCTCTTGCAATCCTTGGTTTTGTGGTAGCTTTCTCATAAAGAACATTGACTTTCGATATAGGGAATTATTTAATACTTAAATTCAGATAGATCAGTTGACCAACAATAGTTCTGATTATAACATGTGGGTAAGAAGTTGAGCTAACAATATCTGCACCATCCCACCCACTCGCCCTACGTACCCCATGCATACACATCGTTGAGTTACACAATTTTTGTCTATAAAAGTCCCACACAACACTTGCAAAACACATCTCAACACTTACAACGATCTCCAACTCCTACTAATCCTCCTGAGGTTTTTGTATTCAACCATGGGTAACTCCAACATATCAACAATGATTTTTCCGTTTGTGGTTCTCATGTTATTGTCAGCAAGCAGTCACACAACGGTTGCAGGGGCACGCAATCTTCTGGAACCAACATTGCCAAAGCCAGAAGTGCCACAACTTCCTAAACCTGAGTTGCCACCTTTGCCAAAAGTCCCTGAACTACCAAAGCTAGAGTTTCCTAAGATCCCTGAACTTCAGGAACCAACATTGTCAAAACCAGAAGAGCTTCCTAAGATTCCTGAATTGCCTAAGCCCGAGGTGCCTAAAGTTCCTCAGTTGCCAAAACCGGAACTGCCTAAAGTTCCTGAGGTGCCTAAAGTTCCTCAGTTGCCAAAACCAGAACTGCCTAAAGTTCCTGAAGTGCCTAAGGTTCCTGAGCCTCCTAAGGTTCATGAAATGTCTGAGGTACCTGAATTGCCAAAACCTGAGTTGCCTAAGGTTCCTGAATTGCCAAAACCTGAGTTGCCTAAGGTTCCTGAATTGCCAAAACTTGATCAACCTAAAGCACCTGAATTGCCTAAAGTACCTGAGATTCCTAAAGTTCCTGAGTTGCCAAAACCAGAACTTCCTAAAGTCCCAGAAATGCCTAAGGTCCATGAAATGCCTAAAGTACCTGAATTGCCAAAACCTGAGCTGCCTAAGGATCCTGAATTGCCAAAACTGGAGTTGCCTAAAGTCCCTGAATTGCCTAAAGTACCTGAGATTCCTAAGGTCCCTGAATTCCCTAAAGTTCCTGAAGTTCCTAAAGCTTTTCCAACCATCAATCCTTGAGTTTGAATTATCTCTTTGCTGTCTTTGTCCTCTGGTCTTATTTCTCTGCAGTTCAGTGTCTAGTTTACGTTGTTTCATGGATGTGATATGATTTATGTTGATTTTTACTTGTGTGCTGTTATAGCCACTTGAGAGTGAATGTAGTATCGGTTTCTAGTATTTTGAACCTTACCGTAAGTTATGTGAGTTTGAAGTTGTTTAAATTCATTATGGTTATACCACTGCTGTTGATAAACTTATCCGTTCATATGTAGACTTATCAGATTTCTGAGTATAAAATTCTATATTTTGCTTCTATTATAGTTTCTGCCGTAACCTTTTCTTGTTTTAACAAACTCAATAAAAACTCCAAATCCAGCTATCCAATTTTTGTTGACAAATCTTGCTCTTTGCAAAGCAAAGGAAACTGCGATCAGGGGATCATACCACATAAGTTAATATATCAAATTCTTACGTTGAACATTTATATAATCTTAATTCGTTACTGTTATGCCTAGGACAACTGCACCGGTTCACAAGGGCAATATAATGAAAGTATTCTTAAATGAAAACTAATTGGACACAATTAGGATTGAAGACTATATTATTATATTATTTTATAGAAACAATTAAGATCATGAAAGAAATTAAAAGTAATGAAATTATAAATGTTAACAATGCCTAATTTTTATAATAAAATTGTAAAATTATTTGGCTTTTATTTTTGTACTAAGAAAAAAACTTTTACTTGCCTTTTTTTTTCCATTGCAAAGACATTTGAACTCATTATTTCAAAGAGTGTCCTTTGTATTTTTCATACAACTTTTATTGGATGTTGACACCAACCCTTTGATGACTAAGGGACCCCTCTCTCGTCAAAGGGATATTATGTCTTAATTTTTTCTTTAAAGTTTTAATATTTGGTCACCCTTTAGCAAACTAGATTTAATATCTTAATTTCCTGTAATAAACGAGATCTTTTCACATTTATACATAAACACAAGTATAATATTCATATACTATCGTACCACCGCTCTTATATATAAAATCCGAATAACTAATTTACCAAGATTAAAAAAAATAAATTAATCTAATTAATAACAATATTAGTAATTCATTTATAGACATAAATATCATATCATTTTTACCTGTAGACATAAATATCATGATTCATTCACACATTGCACAATATAGGTAATTGACACATGAACATGAACATAAACATAAAAATTCATTCATATATGGTATTAAGTGCATAACTTTATAACAAATATGTGAGTAGGGGAACATATGACATTTATTCATATAGGAAAGTGGAAAAATATATAATATTTATGCTTACAAGAATGATAAATTGTACGGTATTCATATTTATCAAGGAGTGAACAAAATTGACATTTTAAAAATAATGATGTATAAGTGTTAATTATTTTTTTGTTATCATTGACATATTAATTGTTAGTATAATGTTATTATTAGAATTAAAAATTTTCTTTATGTAGGGTCAAGCTCAATAGGCAAGTGTTTTAAGGTTTTTATTTTTTATTTTTATGTAGGGTCTAATTGATTTAATATATGTGATTAATGGATATTAAATTGTGATTTTCAAAAAATTGAAAGGGTAGAATCTTACTAAACTTAATTCTATAAGTTTTGTGACAATTATTTTTGCTCCATCCAAGAGGCAATAGTGACAAAGAGGAGTTCTGTTGAAAGAGTTGTTAATTCTTGATGTACACAAGTGAGTACGTGACAATATTGTGATAACAGATTTACTATGGAGATGTTTACAAGAGGTAAGTGATTTATAATTGATAAACATTGATATGATGTTCTAAATTCTAGTATTGATCCGTATATAATTCTATCATACCTTCATATATTTTACTTCTACTACATTTTGAGGCTTCAATGTGTTTTAGTATCAAGTGTTCAAACATTGCGTAAAACCTTGAGGAGTAAATCGATAATGAGTTGCACTAGGAGTCCATCAAAAATTGCTTTTAAATTTCCATGACACAATATTCTTTTTCATTTTTTTCTTCTAATAATGTGAAAGTAATTTTCTGTCTCATTTGATTGCGTTATTTTAATAAATTTGTTGCTCAATAAAAAATGTCTTACCGATATGTTGAAACTCACTTCTTACTGAACTAACTAGAAGGGATGGTCACAAAGGTTACTCATCTTCTTTTGAGTAACTTGAGGTTGATTACATTTTGAAGATGCACCAACAATTTCTTTTGAGAGAAGCGATGTGATAGAGAGCTAATAACTATACTATCACTTAAGCGAGTAGAGTGCTTATTCAAAGCAACTAAAATTCGCTCAAAGCAACAAGAACCTAACTTGAAGTGAGCCAAGTCAAAAAACATCTCTTGAAAGATGGTACTACCTCACTCTTAACACATGAGCGCTTCGAGCGAGTCAAGTTAGAGACCCCTTTGGAAGAATTAAATAAGCTTTCTTGAATGAACTACATGGGTGCTTTGAGCAAGCTACATAAACAAAATGCCAATTTAAAATGTTATTAAATAGAGTTTTTAGGTAGTCTTTATATCTTACTTTTAAAAAATACAATTTTAGAGAGATTAGAGAAAGTTTTGTGAGGAAGCATTTCTGTAGTTACAAATCATGCCACAATCCTTTCTTATTTGTATGATCCTTAATTATGAGTAGCTAAATCTCTACTGCTGGAGATTGATGTATCTATTATACTCATGTAGTTCTTTGTGTTTTCGTTCAATAAAAATGACTTTATCCAGCTAATCGTTTTCCTTTATATTTAATATTTGTTGTGCCTTGATCAACCTATACATGATTTTTTAATTTTAACCGAAGTTAAAAAATTCTTTTAAAATTATGATCTAGGTAAAATACTAATAACACTTATTAGTAGATATAGGATAAGTTTTATCAGTTAATTTTTTTTGTCTCTGACCTTATTGTGGGTTGTTTAACATAAATTATCAAGGAATTAAAATTTTTCTTAAACAACATAAAATTTCTCATATAAAAAATTAAGATTTAAATATAATTGCAACCTATTGAATTAATTATATAATTTCTAGTATTGAATGAAAATTTAAGAGGATTTACATGGAAAAAGTTAATAAATAATCTCTAATTATTCTCATATTATAAATTCAAATTCTTCATAGTTTATTGCATTTTTTTTATATTCAAAAAATTATAAGTTTTGCATATTTCACTTTAAACAATTCTTAATTTTTGTCAATTCATCAATTTTGTACAAATATATAATTGAACAATCATAACTTCATGTGGATTCAATAATTTGAATTTCTATCTAATTTATCACCTATCATAGTTGATATATTTGCCAAATGAGTAACAATGATGCATCTACTACGTAAGTGTGAAGGCACAAACTATCTCTCATAAAAGACTTGGGCTATTCTTTTTAAAGCACTTATAAACAACATGAGATGCATATAAATAAAGGCCTAAACTATAAAGTTTTAATCACTGGTCTATTACAATTTTAAAAATAAAAAATTACTTTTCTTCATTCTGTGTTAATTCAATCGTACGAAGGACTATGAAATTTAAGGATGAGTATTTTTTTTTTAATCTTATATTTTACAACATTCTAAATATATTTAGAATGATTTATTTCGTATTGTTTTTAACCAAAGTTTCCCTCCTAAATATTTTAATTTTAAATTGTTCTGAAATTTTCCAATTGAAATATTTATTTGTCACATAAAAGACTCATCAAAGGCACCAAAGCAAGCACCCATTATTCATTTATTACAAAACTCAGTCGCATATTTCTCGAATTCCCTGCACTAGAAATCCATCTAACAAGTTCTTCCACCATGCAAGCTTCACATCATTCCATGAGAAAGTCCAATATCAAGTGTGCTTGGAAAGGAAGCCAAGAATAAGCTCATTCACCTGTTTGGGAAACTGTTCTTGAACAAAATGTGTTCCCTCAGGGATAAATGTAACCTCCAAATTGGGAACAAGCTCTTTTGCCTTTTCACCCTTCATTAAATCCTCAATCCCTGGAAACTTGAGAATATAATCCTTGCCACCCATTATCACAAGTGCTGGAACTCTAACCACAGGATCTGCTAAGTTCATCACTTCACCAAATGACCTACAAATACAAACAAAACCAATTCACCATGCTTTCATTACTTTGTAGTAAGAAAAACAGGCATTTCACTAAAACATAAGCAACAAAGAACAAATGCTAGCACCTGTATGGAATCTGCAATGTAGTTTGGAATCCAGATTTCTCATACAAAGCCCCATATGTTGCAAGATCTTCCTCTGTGAACCAAGAGGGAAGAGGAGTATCAGGCTCCACCAAATCCATAATCTCTTGATTTTCATTAGCTATTGGTATTTCACTTCTTGAGAAGAGGATGTAAATATTTCGCACAACAGTCTTTACATCAAACCGTCCAAAATCAGCTTCTGCCCTTCCAGGTTCCTTATATAAGACACAATCTAAGTCACGATGATATTAAAGATCACCTAGCTAAGAATCTCCGAGATGATAAACCAAATTTTCCGACTAAAATTAGTGATCGATGAAATTAATAAATAATTATAAATAAATAAAAAAAAAAGGTCACTTAGCTTAAGTTTGCATTGAAGGTCATACTGAAAGTTACTGATTGATTTTTTTAATTACCGATATTCATTTAAAAAGTTAATTTCTTCTGACAAAGATTTTTTTCATACATATATATCATGATCATATACTTCTTACAAAATATTTAAAGAACAAGATTATTCATCAACTATGCTACTTAGATGCATTGAATGTCATTATAAGTTACTGAGATAGAATTTTAACTCAAATTAAAATGTAATACAAAAATCATTTAAGAAACTGGATTAATATTAAGTTTGTCCTTTGAGATTACCTGCCATCTCAAAATGTAGAAGCCTTCAGGAAAGAATTTGTGATATATAGAGGGGCGTGGAGGAACATATGGAACTCCCAACGTGACAACTCCCAAAACCCTTTCAGGGTGTAGAATGGAAAAAAAATGTGCAGGACGCGCTCCAAAATCTTTCCCAACAAGAAACACCTGAGTGCATTCAGAATTTAAGATTAAGCGTAACATTGTGTCAATCACATTTTACATTAGCTGACATATCTTATATCTATGTTTGAATACAAGTTTATAAACACTTTTATCATAATATCTTTATTCGAAAATATATTTTATTTTTAATAGAGAAACTCTTAAAAAACACTTTTAATTTATATCTAAACAAGTTTGTTATCAGACTCAAAGTAAAAAACATGGTTTAATGATACCTGTTCATAAGATGAGAATAAAGGATTATAGTACATGTGTTTTGTATAGGCACGATGATTGTGTCTTTTATGCTTGTGTAACAAATTGATTCATTTTTTTGTAAGCCAATTTTTTTTTTTTTTACATAATTTGGCTGAACCCACCATTTGATGAGCTAAATGAATTGGTTTATCACCCAATTTAAAAAATAATTAAAAATATAGAAAAAAAATAGCATGAAACTCATAATTATTTTTTTTTTTTGAACGGCAAATGTTAATGGTTAGTTTATTAGTTGTTATTGGGGAAATTCAAACCCACACCCTCTTAGTCACTCAACCCTATATCCCTCTCCCCAAACCACTTGAACCACCCTTATCACTCCAGCATGAAACTCATAATATAAATTAAAAATAAAAAAATACCATGTACTGACACATTATAATAACACAATGAATCTATTTGATTAAATTTTTAAAAAGTGTTTAGAAACAAGTATTTAAAAAAAAAAACAATTCTTTAAAGATAATATAGAAGTTGTTTCTTAAAATAAGTATAAAACTACTTATTTTAAAAAAAAAAAAAGTTTAGAAAAACAAAAAACAAAAATAAAAAGGTACTTATTTTATTAAAAAGAAACACTACTAGAAAAAAAAGTTAAAAGAAACACTCTTATATATCATTAAAAAAACTACTTTTATTTACATTATAATTTAAATATATGTTAATATATTATTAAAAAATATAAATATAAACTATAGACACATAAAATATGTTATTAAAATTTATTTAAAATTAATATTAAAATTGTTAATGAATATATATTAAATAAAAATATACATACATTTATTATATTTATAAAAAATACTTCTAGGTATGCTAAGAATTCACTTTAATTTATCAATTCACTCCTTTTTTTTTTAATTTTTTTTCTATTCAAGCAATTACATTTTGAGCTTCTGCATGCATCACCTCGTGCAGAAGATCCCTATATCCTTTTCATTTTCTGAATTGTTCACAAAACTCAGGAAAATCAAGTACACATTGAGTTAGCATTTGATATTTGAAACAGAGCAGCAAAATCTGAAATTCCAGTTGGACAATATGAAAATTGAGAAACAGCAAGAGACATGATGCAACACTCGAGGGTTGAGCTTGAGAAAAGCGAAAAGGAATGAATACCTTGGGAAGCGCAAGAGCATCAAGAATCGCAAGGAGGTCATTGAGAAGATGGGAGAGTGTGAGTGTGGTCTTATAAGGTCGTGGTGGCGCGTCGGAAAGACCGTAGCCTCTGTAATCGAAGGAGATGGCTCTGAATCCCACATCGGCCAGGGCTATCATCTGGTGCCGCCACGAGTACCATATCTCAGGGAAGCCGTGCAGGAATACGACGGCGTTTCGTCCTGAAACACAGCAACGTAATTAAAGAACAAATAGTATACGAGCATGGAAGGTACAGAGGATTATCGATTCTCACCACTTCCGATATCTGCAACGTGGAGATTGAGACCACCCACGTTCACAAACTTGTGCTGTATTGCATCCATCTCTTAGTTTCCTCGACGATATCGACTTCCCATTAATTAATAATGATTACTCCTCCTTCTTTGTTATAAAGAGAAGAAAAAATAATAATTTCATACATCAATATCACTATATCGAGTTAATCACCTAATTAATTAAATCTTTTAATCGTGTCATGTCATTATAAACACATTTATTTTTAATAGTGACATGACACAACTAAAAGATCTAATTGATTGTCAATGTAAAAAAACTTTACACTGACAATGTATAAGTGATTAACTGTTAAAAATAAATGTGTTTATAGTAACATGACACAATTAAAAAATATAATTAGTTGTCACTGTCAAAAAATTTTACACTGACAATATATAGATGATTAACTCTATTAAATATAAATAGGTTAGAGTTTTTTTAAAATATAATAAAAAGAAACTCTTTGGATCAGTAATTAGAGTTTTTTTTTTCCAGTATTTTTATGAGATTACAAGTATTCTTTATAAAGAATAATTATATTTGAGTTAAGTAAAAATATCTCGTACCAATGAATTTATACACTTGTTAATTTTTTTTAATGTGAATATAGAAGAAAACAATATTTTTTTATAACTCCTTTTATCATTTTAATAATTACTAAAAATATAAAAATTAAATGAGAAATCTGAAATATTTAATATATGTCTTTTTTAAAGGAAAAATATTTAATATATAGAAAACACATTTAATTTTCAATATAATCATTATGTTGATCGTAAATATATATGGTTAAAAAAAAGTAGAAAAATTATTGAGATTTTTTATATGCAATTGGGGGGGAAGGAGAATAAAAATTAGTTCGTAATATATTTTGAAATGGGTATTTTTTTTTAATCTTTCGGTCAACATGCTATTAATATAAAAGTTGATGATTAATATTTACATCACCTTTAACAGGATGTGTTCTCACACAATCATTATGTTTATCCATAAAACATGGACTCAAAGTTCTGATTTAAATAATCCAAGATTAGTTCTACTCAAATTAATCACATGTTGGCAAATTTGTTAATAAAATGCAATAAGAATTATTAAATAATAGGTAAAAATGTAATAGGAGATGAATTATTATTAGATACATGTGCCTGTAAAAATATATTTTACACTGATAATACATATATGTGAAACTATTTGATCTTTACAAAAGAAAATATGAAAAGTATTGTTTTAAAAATTATTTAATGATGTATTTTTTTTATGATAAAAAGTGAATAATTATAAAAATGTAGATATTTGAATTTATATTTTAAAATGCTAAAATTAGTTTAATTAATGAAATATTATTTCAGTAATAATTAAAAATCATTTTATTTTATATTGATTATATAAATTTTACTTTTGATTAAAATAACTAAGAAAATAAAATATTTCCTTTGAGAATAAAAGATTAAAGAAAAATATCAACTTAATTTAATATGTTTATTAAAACATACGACATAAATTTGGAAGACATGTAACAACACAAAAATAGATTCTCTAGGTCGGTAATTTGAGATTTTTTTTCTTCTTCTTTTCGATTTGAATGTAGGCTTAATTCTATTTTAGGTCTCTAAATATCATAATTAAATAATTTTTTACTTTTATTAATTTTTTGTTAAATTTTATCAGTTTTAATTGATGTGACACTCGATTAAGTAAATAACACATATGTTGACATATAATATGAAAATAAGAGTAAAACTTGTCAAAGTGTATAATATAGAAATTGAACTTGCACAGGGGTAGTATGCATAAAGTTCTAAATTTAAACTTTATTGTTATTACTATAATTTTTATAATAAAAAATTATACTTTGTTCTCTAACTTTCAAAATAACACCTAACAACCTTAAAAAAAAAATTAATAACACTTAACAACTATATATACGAATAAATTTTTTTAATATAATGCAAGTTATAATATACATGTTTTACTAAAAGTTGTCATTACAAATGATTTAACACTTGTATTGATTGTCCAAAGAACAAGATTTGTTTTTTATCTCTTGTTTTTTATTTTCAACATGAAGTTATGATTGAAAGTATCACTTTATTCATATAAAAAGTTAAAGTTATATTAAACCAAAAGTATGTGTATATATGTATGTGTGAGATAAGGTTAGTTAGTATACTATTCAATAATTTTATATTAAAATTGAATTCTTTGAAACTTGCTATTAGATTGAAATTAAATAGAAATTATATATTATTATTAAATTAAAATTGATAATATTATTAGTATATTATTATTTTTTTAAAAATAATTATATAATTTTTGATATATTTAAACTATATAAATTATAAATTTGATTCATGTATCAAAAAAATTTAATTTACTATTATTAAATAAATAAAATTTATACATTTTATTAGCAGTAATAATATTATTGATAAATTCACATTAATAATATTATTGAAAATTTATGAACAAACTAATAATTTAATAATTACAAATTAATACAAATAAATATATTAAAAAAATTAATTAGAAATATATAAGTCTTTTAGAGACATCTAATAAAAATTAAAATATATTATATAAATATAATTATTTAGTAACTAAAATATACAAATTAGATATTAATATTTATCAAAGTCTATTTGTTTAAAAGTATATTAATATATACTAATTTATATTACTATGAACGAGATTAATTTTTAGTTTAATGTGTAATGTAATAAGTTAATTGTTTAGAGTTTAGTTAACTCTAGAGAGAAGGGTATATAAGGTTTTCTTTGAGAACGAAACCTCATAGGCTCATTCTCAAAGAAAACCTAGAGAGAAGTTTTAGAGAGAAAGACTCTGAGTCCGTGAGCTCCTTTTTCTCCCAAATTTTTCTGCTTGATTCCTCTTGTCTTCTAGATAACTAATCTATTATGTCTTTTCTTTGAATTCAAGCTAGAAAGCTTGATTTTGGAAAATTGAATTCTGGGAGTCGACCGTTCAGGAATTTTTCTTCTTCTTTCTCTTCTTGGCTGTTATGAGCCAATTTTTAGGTAAGGGAAGCTAGGATTGTGATAGATTGGTTGCATGTGAGTTTAGAAACTCAATTGATGCATGAATTGAAGGTTGATTTGTTGATTTGAGATATTTTCTCATTTTTGGGCTAAAACAAGGGTTTTGGCTGATTTGGTGCATCGGATGAGTGCATGTTGTTTCTAGGACTTGAATTTGTTAGTCACTTAGCCTCAATTAACTTAAGAGGGGGGGTGAATTAAGTTTTCTAAATTTCCTCTTCTAAAAACTTTTCCAATTACTTTCTTATCAAATTTAATTCCTTAGATAAACTTATATGTAAAGAATGAATGATGATGCAAACTACACAATTACAATTAATAACAAGAAATTAAAAGTGTAGGGAAAGAAGAATTGCAAACTTGATTTTATACTGGTTCGGCCAATCCTGCCTACATCCAGTCCTCAAGTCTCCCACTTGAGATTTCCACTACTCTTGTAAACCTTACAAGAATTGAATCCTCCAACACCTCGGAACTCCCTTTCCTTGTGTTGAGATTCAAACACCAACAAGGAGAAAAACCCTTTCTCCTTTACAGATCAACAGATCAACAGGGTATTACAGAATGACTCTCTTTAAAGAGTAGATATTACACTTTCTATGAACTTGATGAACTCTTTAGATAATTGTTTGCAAATGATTTTTGGCCAAGTAGTTTTTGTAAATGATTTTCACAATAGAGTTCGTCACTTTTCTCTGAAAAATTATAGGTATTTATAAACAATTGTTTCTTGAGTTATGTCTTTTCATGAAGAGTTGTAACTCTCTATAATTTTTCAGAAAATAGGCTCTGGTAATCGATTACAAGACTTGGTAATCGATTACAACGGTTAAAGTTCAAAATGATTGAAACGTTGTATAATTCAAATTCAAATTTTGAAATTTTCTCTTCTGGTAATCGATTACAATCACTGGTAACCGATTACCAGAGAGCATTTTAACATTTGAACTTTTGATAAGAGGTTTTCTTTCTCTGACAATCAATTACCAGACACATATCACTTATTTTGGCTTATGAAAACTTAAGATATAGAGAGCTTCTATTTTCCAATTAAGAATATTTTTGTTTAATCTTTTGAATAGTCTTTTTGCTTTCTTTTCAAATAACTTATTCTTATATTCAAAAATATTAAGTTTAGGTTTTCTTGAAATTCTTATTTTCTGGCCAAGTGAAATTTGCAAATTCTAAATGTTCATTTTACATACTAAGTTAAGCAGTCAAGACTTATCTAGTTATTACTTGAGATCTTGCTTCTTGATCAGCTTGCTTTAACTTGACCTTTATTTTCTTCAATGCTTTGGCATCATCAAAACTTTGTGCATATTTTCTTCCACAGAATTGAACTATTTTTGGTGCATGGATGTTATCTCTTCCATTGCATGTAGTGTTTTTTTTTTTTTGAGTTTCAGGTGTGAAGGTCCAAAAATGGTGAACAACATGGTGCCTCTGTCACCAAACGACTGAGCCATTTTAAAGGGCTGAGCCCTTTAGGGGCCGCGTGATAGAGGAGGATTTCTGGAACCAAAGGGTTGAACTATTTTAAAGGGCTGAGTACTTTTGAAATGGTTGAGTCATTTTAAAGGGCTGAGTCCTTTGGGGGTCGTGTTACAGGGGAGAATCCTTGAAAGCAAAGAGTTGAGCGCTTTGGGAGGCGCCGAGCACTTTAGGAGGCGCTGAGCAGTTTTATGCTTTCCTAATTAGACTTTGATGTCTTCATAAAAGTTGAATCCTGGGATGTTACCTTTCCAATGGCGTTGGAATCACATAAAAAAAGAGGTCTATAACTCTAGTTATGGCTATTTTAGTAAATAGGAATCAAGTTGTCAGCATTGATTATATCTGTTGCGGATTTTTACATTTTTAGCTAAGCAGATGATTTATTTAGAATTTCATGTCTTCATAAGAGTTGTAGATTATCCTCTTATATTTCTTTTGAGATAGGTTTGAACTTATTTGGATGAGTATAAGTCTCTGCGTGTTGTCTCCTTTGACAGTTGTCGAAGGGAGACACATGTTGTGGAGGTGTTATCATGTGGATTAAAAAGTT